CCTGCGGCAGTGGGAGATGGGACAGTCACAGGGACACTTTGTGGTGCCCGAGGTCTGCAGCCCATGTCCCGCGGTGGAACGTCTGTATCCAGCAGGCCTGAGGAGCCTCCCTCGGGAGGCTGGGGCCACATCCTGCAAACAGCAGCTCCTTTCCAGCGCTGCCAGTGCCCTGCCCCGCTCCACCCAGGGAGATACCTGCAGCACCCAGGCTGGGCTCGGTGGCAGGCTGAGAGGGGATTTTGAAGTTACACATTGCCCCCGGGGCAGGGCAGCATCCTTCTGTGGGCACATTGCGCAGGGACAAGGCTGTCCCGCTTGCACCATGTGCAGAGGCAGAGATCAGCCTGGAAGCAGTAAATTATGAAATACTTCGGGTGGCAGCTTACACTTTGGTCTATTTTCAGTCCATTGCTCTGCTCTTTGTCCTGATTTAAAGCACCAAAAATGGTTCAGCAACTCTCTTAGAAAAAGAAAAGGCATTGCCAGAGAAATGGAGCCTCCCGCTCCGCCGTGGGGCAGGACCTGCAGACACTGCCTTGGCCATGCCTTGGCCACATCACAGGGGCAAGTGCCGTGGCAGATATCAGACCTCAAGGCTGCTTAATAACATATAAATTGCCAGAATCGTCTATTTTTGGCTCAGCCTGTGGTTGGTGCTCCGAGACGGCCACACTTACACTGTGGGCCGGGCAGAGGCAGCACCACAGCCATGGTGATTGCCAGTGCCCCAGCAGCCCCGTGGGGAGCAGAGGGAGACACAGGGAGCGCGTGGGACAGGCGGGATGCTCCTTCTCACTCCTGTTTGATTTCTCTTCCAGAGCTCACCCATGACCTGGAAATAAAAGAGCTGGAAGCCCGCCAGCAAGGTAAGAGCACAGGTTTGTGCACGAGATAAGATAAGGGGGAGTGTGTGTGGGTGCGGGGGGCTGCCCGAAGAGCCTGCAGCCAGAGGGGGCCCGTCAGAGCCACCCAGGGAGGGGACATGGCCCCTGTCTGCAGGGGACAGTCAGGCTGAGTGGAGGACTGTGGCTGGGAAGTCAGTGTGCACTAGGTTGGCTTTGCTAATGCCCTGACACAGACCCCCAGGAGCAGCTCACAGACCCCCAGGGCGGGACTCAAAGCCTGCAAACCCTGCAGCCCCAGGAAAAAGCCAGCAAGGACATTATCAGCACACACACACACACCCCGCCAGCTCCCCTCACCGATTGCAATCCAGATGCTGATTCAGAAAATCTCCCAGCACCTTTGGTTCATCAAACAGTCAGTTTTGCCCACAAAATAATCTTTCACATTCCAAAATAAGGGGGAGAAAAGTCTTGGTGCATGAAAAATGTCTGCAAGCTCCAGGCACTATCCCAGGCCTGGGACCAGCAGCAGAGAGCTGCCCATAAGGCACTGCACAACACGCTGTCCCCTCGGGCCACCCGGCCCCGTGTCCTGCAGCCCCTCCTGGGCTGCTGCCTGAGGCAAGGGCATGTGCTGGGACAGGCAGCCCTGCCTGCCTGGAGAGCCCTGGCAAAGCATTTCTCCAGCCCGAAGGCAGCCTCATTCCCCTGGGATCAAACCCACAGGCAATTCCCCCATCCCGAGGCCGTGTCGGGCAGGACATCTGCTACCAGACCAGCACAAGATGGGGCTCTGGCATCTCTCAGCACTGGCAAACAGCAGACTGGCCCTTCAACCCAGCGGCTGAGAGCAGGTTTTCAAATGAAAGGCAGTGCCGACAGGCACAGGAGCAGGGAGCTGATGCTGAGCTCGCCCTGATTTCCAAGGGGCTAAAGGCAGGCTGGGTCAGCTCCTCTCCTCCAGCAACCAGTGCCCAGCCGGCTGGGGGAGCAGAGGAACAGGGGGAGCAGGGGGCCTGGCTGCAGGCTGGGCCGTGCCCGGCTGCACACGGAGATGCTGGCATAGTAGGGGCGCTCCCAGCACAGCATCCCGCTGCCAGCACGCAGCTGGGCACTGCTCCCCACCTTCCTGGGTACCCTCATCCGGAGGCGGATGCGGCCACTCCCCGCGTCTCACACACACAACACGCACACTCACACACACACGTGCGCACCCGCAGCCCTGACCTGCGGAGCAGAGTCCGGCCAGCCTGACGCCCGAGCAGGATGCATTGGGCAACTCTCCCGGTGGTGGACTGTGGCCAGCGAGGCCCACGGGCAGGAGCTGGATGGTCCCCCAAAGGATGTACCCGGCTCATCCACCCTTCCCCGGTGGCTGCTGTCCCCTTTCCAGCAGGGCTGCGGTGCCCCAGGGCTCCCACCGCCCGCCTGGCTGGAGCCATGGCCCCACTCCGTCCACAGCCCGGCAGGGAGGGGGTGCGTGATGGTGTCCCCAGGGTGTCCCTTGGGGCCCTGTTCTGCCTGGCCTTGCTTCTGTCCCGAGGTGCCACGGGCTGAGACTGCCCTCACCACGCTGCTCCCGTGGGCCAGCAAATGCCACCGCACAGCTCTGGGTCACACATCCCCATCCCCAACAGCACATGGGACAGGCAGGGGCAGGCAGTGGTGCCCGGGCACCCGTGGCCGGCAGAGGATGCTCTGTGTGCAGCCCGGCTCCTCTTCCTCCTCTGTCCCAGGGATGAAGCTGAAATTCGTCCCTGGCGCTGCCCAGGCCTGGTCCTTGGCACCGAGCCCGTCTGCAATTCGTCCTCAGAGCCAGGGCTGGTGGTGCCAGGGCAGGCGCGGGGCCACTCTCACCGGGACCGTCAGGGTTCTTGTCCCTTGGCAGCACCGTTGCTCAGTGCCATGGCTGGCTCCAGGGGGATGTGGTGCTCCCAGCCCCTGGCCATCCCCAGGAGGAGGATGGGCGGCAGCAGGCGGTGCACAGCCAGCCCCTCTCAGCCCATCACAGCCCCCAGCGGACCCCCATTCCCAGCTCACACCCCCCACTGAGCCCGGGGTCCCTTCCCTGTGCAGGTGGGCTCGCTGCTCGCGGGAGGGCCTTGTGTCCAGCCCTCTGGGTGCCATCGGTGCGTCACAGGCCATAATTTGCTGCAAATCCCACCCACAGGTCTCTGCCCATCCTTCAGCCTTTTAACAGCTTACAAAGAGTAGGATCACGTTTGCCACGTTTATGGGGCAACCACCTAATTTAAGATGCCATCAAATGATTGCTTTTCAAATGCCACTCATGTAATAATTACTGCGTGCAACTGCCTCCCTTAAGATCTCATTATAAAGCATTTTTCCTCTGCAGAAGACACTTAGGAGCTGAAGCTATAAAGCAGTTGCAAATCGTATCATAGAAAGCAGAGATTATTGCAGACAATGGGAGCAAGCCTGGGCAGGCAGGTGTGAGTGCAGGCGGGTGCCAGCCTCAGCAGGAAGCGTTCGCTCTCCTCCCTGCACCCCGCCAAGGGCTGGGTCCAGGAGCTTGCAGCCAGGGCTGCCAGGGGCAGGAGTCCGGTCGCAGGCAGGGAGGGTTCCCCAGGGTGGTCCAGCCCCCCGTGCCCCGGTGCCAGGCTCGTGGTGCGGCCGCACAGCCCAGCCCTCCCGCTGCCCGCTGAGCTCGGCCCCGCGAGGGTCCGAATCCCCCGTGCCGGCTGCTCCAGCTGCCACCTCGCACCCCCAGGCAGGACATGTCACCCGAGGGGCAGCTCCCATCCCCCAAACACCTCCCAGGGCTGAACATGGGGAATGCAGCCGGTCACGAGCTGCAGCGGCCGCAAGCAGAAAACTGTGCCTGGGCCAGGTCCCCAGGGTCCTGTGAGAGCCCCACGTGAGCAGCATGCCCTTCCTTTTGGAGATGATAACGCTTTTTGGCCGAGGACAAGAGCACTTTGAGCCACAGCCCCCTGCTCCCTCCCGCCCGAGAGTGCGGAGGGGAGGTGAAATCCGGCTGCCAGCAACGCTCCAGTAACTCCTCTTTCCCATTTCAGAGCATCCTTCCCAATGCATCACCTGCAAGACAGTTCCACTGTCCCAGGTGCAAGGCCACCACCCGCAGAGGACTGCAGGCCCCCAGGAGCCCCCCAGCACACAGGGCTCCCGGCCATGCCAACCTGCAGGAGCACTTCTCGGGGTGGGGGGTGCCCGGGCCAGCCCTGTCCCTCTGGGGTGTGGGGGCACATTTCCTGGGGCACAGAAGCGCATCCCCGTGGACCCGTACATGGCCATGGGGCAGGACCTGGGTGCCCTTGTACAGGGACACCTTTAGTACATTTCCACAGCGGATCAAAGGCTGCCCAGAGGAGAGGAGAGACTGCAGGAGCACTTCTCGGGGTGGGGGGTGCCCGGGCCAGCCCTGTCCCTCTGGGGTGTGGGGGCACATTTCCTGGGGCACAGAAGCGCATCCCCGTGGACCCGTACATGGCCATGGGGCAGGACCTGGGTGCCCTTGTACAGGGACACCTTTAGTACATTTCCACAGCGGATCAAAGGCTGCCCAGAGGAGAGGAGAGAGTCACCACGAAATGAATCGCTGTGGCTGCCATGCTTCTCCTCCATCCTTCATCTCCTCCAGCTTTTCAAGGTCATTAGGCAGAAGGGATTGGGGAAATGCAAAGTTTTGTTATCCAAATTGCTCTACAGGTGTTTACTCAACGCAGTCTCTTGATGCCGCCATGGTGGGTGGGATGGAGGAAGGATGGATGGCGAGTGGGATGGATGGATGGATGGATGGATGGATGGATGAATGGATGGATGGATGTCAGGCAGGTGGAAGGGAGCCCATGCGGGCTGGCCAGAGCAGTGCAGGGTGTGCAGGAGAAGCATGCAGAGCCCCATGTGAAGTCACACTTTTTTGGGTGCCTTTGGTATGACTCAGAAGGGCCAGGGCAGGGAGGGCGTCCGTCACCTGCTGAGGTGTGGGAAGGGCAGGAAGGGTGATGAGAGCCATGGGGAACCTGCTGCTCAATGCAGCACCTCTGTTTTAACAAGTCCCATCCACGCCCCGTCACTGGCAGGCAGCTGCTGCCAGGAGCAGAAAGATGAACAGGTCAGGCGTTAGTAACCAGAGGTGATGGCATGGTGAGCACACAGCAGCCGAGGGGGGGGGCTGGCTGCCTGGCCCTCCTGCCCCCTGGCCCACTCCTCCCGCCTGGACTGGGGGTTTCTTCCCTGCCGAGCACAGCCCAGCTCCTCCATAATCCTGGATTAGCATCTCCATCCTTGCTGATCAGGCTGGGGAGTCTTGGGGCTTGAGGTCGATGACCCCTCCTAAGTTGGGCTGATGGTTTCACTGCCACCATTTCCTTTTCTCTCCCAGCCCGTACGTTCCCCCGTGCCCTCTGCACACACTCAAAGTCACTTTTAGGGTGAAAAACTAGTTACCCAGGGAAATCTTAAAACTGCAGCACGAGACTGCAGTGAGGCAGAGGCGGCAGGTTCCATGGCAACAGCATCCTCCGCTGAAACTGCCTTTGCTTTCACCCCCTGCGTTTGGGTGTGCCTGCAGCACCGCAGCTCAGGGCTGACGGGGGTTCCTGTGCCTGCCTGCGGTACATGGGGAAAGGCCGCTTGTGCTGTCAGGGAGCCCACGCTCAGGCAGCTCATGGGGAGTTTTGGAGCCCTAGCTCCCAAAAGCGCCCGAGCAGCCTCTATGGCACTGCTGGGACATGCCAGCACCATGGAGCAGCCGGGCAGCCGTGTCCACGTGCCCTCACAGTCACGTCGGGAGCATACGGGGACCCGCCAGGAGCTGTGGGATGAGGCCATCGTGCCGGGCTGAGCCCCCGCTGCCTCCCCTGACCCCCTTCTGTGCCTTGCCCCCACAGACGTTCTGGCCCGGGAGCTGGAGGAGAAGTGCCGGGCGATGGAGGCCCAGCTGCAGGAGAAGGAGAAGGACAACCTGGAGCTGCGCAAGGAGCTGCGGCACAAGGAGACGCTGGTGGCCGCGCTGGGGGCCCGCCTCCGCAAC